GAGTCTATCGTGCAACTTCTCTCTATTTATGTATCAAGCGGTAGATGACACAAATGAACGTTCTATTCGTTCAAGATTAACAACTGCAAGTTGTTAGCGGTCGTAGCTGAATTGAAAAGCTGCAATTGTGGATGTCCTGATTACTGTTGCTGCTTATTCTCTATAGCAGAAGACAGTGCTTTTACATTAAAATAAAAAAGCTAAAGTATATTATGTTAGACAATTGTCCAAATGCTGCTGCCGACTCCAAGCAAAATATGGAAGAAGAGTCTTGTGCAGACTATGGTAAGAAAAAAAATTGACAAGTGAAATTGAATCAGCTGTGTTTCTTCACCAGAAAATGCGCACTCAAGCCTGCAGTGTGTACCTAAAGAAAGGAGTGTTAACATTTCCACCAAATTAACAAGAAATTTAAGAGAAGAATAAATAGGCACTGCGGTGTAGAAACGTTTTTAAAAGCGAGAACCTCATTAACTGATTGTTATAGGCATATTAACAATTGATTTCAGCTATATCTTTCACATTTTGGTCACCTCTTCTTTTTATTTTATTTTTATTAATCAGTCAATTTTGTATGCAATTATTACCATTAGTAAACTACTTAAACAAAACCAACTAACACGCATGCAATCTATATAACTGTTTTGTTCAACTCGCCAGTCACGATAAGTTATATATGTATATATATGAAAAGAAAGGGTGTTCTTCCAATGCTAAAAAATACCCATCTGATTTTCATTGAGAAAAATATCTTAATAAAATATTCGCAGTAATTGTCCTCTATTGAGATCTGGTGACTGTATCATCGTAGCGGATAGTACTTTAGCCCACACCAACCAGTATGAAAGCATCAAGCAGTATGAATTTATAAAAATATTCCAAATGAAGACGCTGTAAAAGGCTGCAAAAAAACTCAAGTGAAAAGTGCTTCAGATTTAATAAGGTTTTACAGCAACAATAATAACAAGGAACCAAAAAAAGCTTTTCCTTTTGTAAACCACTCCTTTTTTTTTT